GAGGAGTGAAACGTCTTCTGTTACAAATAAAGTCCAGTTGTTTTTGTATTGAACGCTTTTTGAATTTATCATGTCCTGGATGACTGAGAATCTTCACCAGCATATGAAGTCAGTTATTGAGCTACGACCTAGGGCAGGGGTGTGCAAACTTTCAGACTCGCGGGCCACACTAAGTTCTAAAATTGGAGCGAAGGGCCGGGCCAGGAACAGATGGATGGAGTGTTTGTGTGATGTTACACCCCGGTGCAATAACAGCCACCAGGACGCTATTAATTATGGGCGATTCCACCTTCTGCACCACTCAAGCAGCCACTAAGTCAGGATTATATGATAGAACAGTGATTTTATTTACAATAGTGACATTATTGACTTTGTGGAATCTTACCATCTTCAGGCCCAAACAACAAACAAAACAAACCACTGTATTTTCTCTTACCTGAAGAAAAATAAAATTCACCAAACCACAAGTCTCTTACCTCACTATGCTAATGGAATACAGGAGAAAAGTTGAAATAAAGTGGCAGCTCACCCCTACAAACTCCTCACAAAACTTTTTACAACTACAGGATCTAAAGTTGATGACAGGTCAGCTGTGGCAGGTTGGGAATGGAAGCTGACATCATCCTTCTGCAGCTCCTCTATGCAGCATCACAACAGAGTACCTGCACAATAACAGTTTCACACACGCACACACAAAGCATGACTTACAGTGATTCCTGATGGATGAAAAATAACATCCTGGTCAGAGTTTTCCTCTTTCACTTTATCCTGGATTCTTTTCAGCAGCCCAACATGTCTTCCACTTAAATTTGGTGATTTGTCCGTTGAGACATTGTCAACTTTACTCCACAGTAGCTTCATTCTCTCATGACAGCAGACGGTTATAAAAATCCTTTCTCCGTGTTTTTCCTTTCAGAGACTCCAGGGTCAAAAACACGTCCATTTTCTCAAAACTGTGGTTACGTTCGCATATTTTGCTTTGTGTGTTACCTGTTGTTCTGTCTGTACAGCACTTTGGTTGGCCTTGTCGCTGTTTTAAGTGCTCTATAAATAAAATGGTATGGTATGGTATGGTATATTAAAAAAATAGTAGATGAGCAGTGTCCTTTATTACTTTCATCCAGTGCTAACAAACCATAACTTCAAGGACTCTCTCTGCCTTTTAGCTTATTTTGCTGGCTAAACCTTCATCAATCAGCTCCACAAGGCGAGTCACAGTCTTGCATGATAAACTGATTTTTTCTAACTTGGCCCTCCAGACACAATAGACCTGCTCTGTTTTTACCATGTTTCTTTTAACATGGGAGAAAGGCTTGCTAGCATAGTTAGCAGTTAGCTAAGTGTATTCTTTGAAAACCACGACAGTTTCTTGGTATAAAAACTGCCTTTGATTGGACCTCAGTGAAACAATATGTTGTTGTCCACCCCATTTTAAACACTTGGCACTCACTGTACACTTTCCTTTTCTTTGATAAACACGTTTTTACAGACGAGTTCATAGGGCAAAGTAAAAATAAAAGCGTAGAAGAAGAAATTACTTCTTCTCCACTGTTACTTTGCCTGTAATACATGCCAGTGTCTGTAATGCGCTTCTACTGGGGAAATGCTGGAACTACAGGTAAAATGACACCAGTTTTTTTCCCTATTAAATTCAGTTTTTTAAATATAATTTGAACCAGTGCCGATTTTAACCTCTTTTTGGGGGTGCTTAAGCCAGGGTTTGCCCATGTCTGAGGTATCCTGGTGCCAAGTGCACTTATGGACACACTTATGTTCGAACATGGTGTTGGTGATGGACAAACTATGACTGCACAAAAGTCCAACAACAGAACACCGCTCGACTTCCGATGAGAGAGACTGTTCCTCATAATCACATCTCTCCAGGTCACACTGTTGTTACCCACATGGACATTGAAGGCCCCCAGCAGAATAAAGGAGCCCCCAACTGGCACACCTTCCAGCACCCCCGCCAAGGTCTCCAAGAAGGCTTGATACTCTGAACTGCCATTTGGCGAATAGGCACAAACAGCAGTCAGAGCCTGTCCCCCCACCCAAAGGTGCAGGGGAAATCTCCAACACAGACATCAGGTTGGGGGGCCAAATGTAGATCCACACCAGCTCAGTGCCTCTCACCATGGGCAACTTCAGAGTGGAATAAATTTCAGCCCCTCTCAAGGAAATTGGTTCCAGAGCCAATGCTGCGCGTCGAGGTAAGCCCAACTACACTGTATATCTAGTTGGTACCGCTCAACCTCGTGCACAAGCTCAGGCTCCTTCCCCACCAGGGAGGTCACAGTCCATGTCCCAAGAACCAGCTTTGGTAAACCAGGGTCAGAGTGCCAAGGTCGCCGCCTTCGGCCACTGCCCATGGCATCATGAACCCAACTTATTTGTCCCCTCCTGCAGGTGGTGGGCCCACAATAAGGTCATTTTAATTTTACACGGTTAAATTATTAGCTTCAGTTATGGTCAGATCACATTCACATTGAGGTGAATAAGATCGAATCTGCTGACCGGTACTTGTGAAATAAGACACTTTTTCTTTTTCTCTTCGGTTAACACAACTGTAGCACGCACATTTTTATGGCATTTTACATTTTTGTATACAAACCGGTTTCCAAAAAAGTTGGGACACTAAACAAATTGTGAATAAAAACTGAACACAATGATGTGGCGGTGCCAACATCTAATATTTTATTCAGAATAGAACACAAATCACAGATCAAAAGTTTAAACTGAGAGAATGTATCATTTTA